GGACTGAAGAAGACGGTCGAATTTGTGACTGCAGTTTTTGTTTGAGGGTGGGCGTAGAATGCGAAAATTTGTAAAATGTGTTATATGACATCGAGCAAAAATAGGACTGGATAATAAAAGTTTTGATTCTGTGTTTTATAGCGTGACCGAGTAAAAATAAACATTACTTGTCACTGTATCCACGCACTTAACCCTGAGGAGTAAATATTATCATTATCTCCATTTCACTGATAATGAAACTGAGGCACAGAGAAGTAAGGTAAGTTGCTTGAGGTCATACACACAGCTAGTATGTGGCAAAGCCAATACGTGGTGAGCCCAAGCAGTCTGGGCCTGGGGATTGGCTCTATACTGTCTAGATGCTGGCTATTCAAACATTCTAGAAATACAGACTGAATAAGAGTGTTTTCCCTAATTCGCAGTTCTGAGTTAGCATCCCTAGCTGTCCATATTTGAGAGCCTGGGATACTGACTTTCCAAGCCTTGATGCCTTCCATTAGCACACAATTCTTGCCTCCTTCCCATTCCAGGTCAGAACATGTTTTGAATCCTCCAAACCAAACTAAAGTAAGGCAAACTATATCTACGTAATACGATATAGACCTACGCTTGGCAAGTGTTACCCATATATATAAATATGTGTGGAAATTGTGTCCCTTAGTGTTCAAAGGATTATAACTGGGGTATAAATAGTTGAGAAAAAATGGGGTAACCAGAAACTAAATAGACCCTTCAATTCTGGATAAGAAAGAAACAGAAGTTATTGGAGCCTCCTATAAAACTAGCCAGGAATTTCTGAAGAAAGGATTGAAAGGAAAAGAGCAGACCAGAAAGAAAGGCTGAGATGCACTGTCTGCATGACAAAAAATGTGCCAGTGAGGGACCATTTGGGGGACATATCAGAAAAGGACAGGAAGTTGAAAATAAAACTAAGAATCTGAATATTCTTTTTTAGATCACCTATTCAACAATTATGTACTGAGTGCTTTCTTAAGCACCTAACATAAGGGTGCAAATATGAGTAAAAAAATAAGTGCCTGCCCTCATGTACCTGAGGTCCTGAACACAATTAAGTATTAAAGATGTTATGTCAGAAACATGTGCAGGGCCCAGGAAGGATGTAAAGGATGGAGAAGTCAGTTCTACCTAGATGTTCAGAAAGGGT